AGAAAGTTTGGCAATCACATTGCTGGTATGCGTATTAGCGGAATCCTCGAGAGAATATCAAGAGACACGTCCATATCTTTATCTCGAGGCAAAAACCTAGATTTACAGCTAATAACTTTTCACTGTTTGAGGTAATAGATTCAGAAACCAATTTCCGACTAGTATGACAAGCAGCTTTAGCCCAGGTCAAAGATACGAATTGGGGAAAGGAGGCACTTTTAATGCACATCATGACATACCGGGCTGTTTTGTAATCACGTTAAAGTTGTGGAGCCACCTCTGAGTGACAACGTAGCTGCCACCGGTAGCCTTGCTCACGGCAACTTCATGTCGTTCGTCCGGGTCGGCTGGGTTCTCGGTTCCTGTGCAAAGAAAGAACAAACACAACAGTGACTATTCGTTACTCGCAGTGTCATTATAGACTTGCCAAGACACTAGCTGCAATCGAATATGTGGCCCCACCCAGCATTCAATTTTATGAAACAGTGCCTTCTGTAGGCTTAATTCCACGTCGTCCCTTTCGCTGATCCCCATCACGCATCCCTCCAAAGTAATAAGTTGGGTCAGCGTTCGGCCAAAGGTAAGAGATGGGGCTAGACTGGACCATCAAAGTTGTTTACTTGAAGTAGATTTTCATTAGTGGCCCACGTGTCAATCGGATATTCCCCCTCGTTGCTTCCTCTGTCATTGTGACTGCTCATTACGGATTGGTATCAGTCCACCTGGAATGCCTAACTAATGCTATCGAGTTTCATTCTTCTTTTCACCACGTTACAGCTCACACTTCTAGTAGTTCAAATTGCGCCTATGTGGTTTTGCTATTTATTGGTGTATTGAAATAGGTCAATGGGGAAATATAAGCTTTCAAAGTTTGCTTCTTATAAACCACTAATTAACAGTTTTGTCTAGCTCAACCCTAAAACGCGCCTTACCACCGTTTCCGTATTACAATGTCTGCCTCCCTTACGGGGCCAAATACCAAACTGTGCAACCGAAAAACAAAGACTTCCGGTCGCCCGTACATCAGTGTCTAATCCTAAAGAAACGAAGGACAAACCTTACAAGGATCTAGAGGCTCCTATCTTTCGGAACAGCATAATGATTAAGGCCAACAAAACAATTAGTGTGTATTTCCACCAGTCGGAAGAAGACAGTCTATCTCTTGATGTCCTATGAAAAGACTTACTAGCACTCGTAAAATAAAACATTATACATACAGGCGTAAAAGTGCACGCTGATGCTACGTCAGCGCCTTACCATCAATAAAACCACTCATATCTCTTCCATTTCGATAGCGGAAACCGTAAACTTCTTCAGTTTTCTCTATGTATTTTTCCGGGACCTCGGCTAGGATGGCCTGTGAGAGTTCGAACAGTTTTCCGTACTCAGCGCAGGTGGCGTGGACCAGGATGTCGCCGCCTGAAGGAGAGGAGGAAAGAGGAGAAGGTGAATAGTTAGGACATTGTCAAAGGTTGTAAGGACCGATACTATACAGCTCACATAGATTTAAAAAATCAGGCAACCAGATTTCCTGAGGTTAGTCTATATTTAAGGATTTTGGGCAGAAGGGGGGGGACTGGAAGACAGAGCGCGTGAGTGAAAGTTCCACCGAGGCTTTAACTTAAAGCAGTTCCACTTTGCGCCACCTTTGGACGCACCAGGTAACAAGTAGTTAGGCTAACGGATAACCCGTTTTCCCCTTCTTGATATGTGGTCTCCATCGTTGGCAAAGACACTCATTGATGAACGTTCACCTAACTACTAATGGAACTCATCTGTCCCGCCCTGCCTTTAGTTTCGACAGAGCCCCTGACAACCGTTCCAGCTAGAAGTAGGCAGATAGTATTGCCGGAAAAGAAAAGGGAGACTGGAATGGCCATTCGTAGCTTATTAGCCGTCGTCAGCCAGTCATTGCCAGACCCAAGTGGCATCCCACCCGAGCCTCGAATTCGCGACCTTTTTAATCAGAGTCAAAGGCCATAACCACTGGCTGACGACAACTAATGAGACAGAAATGGCCATTCCAGTGTCCCCTGTCTTGGCAAGCAATACTGTCTGCCTACTTCCAGAATAGGTTTAATCTGTCCAGTTCGGCTGCCGCGGATCGCCACACGTGGAGATTTTGTAGTCTCTATCACCGCATAATGGCTGGCTAGGTCAAACATGCTCACAGCCGTACGAAGGGCAATTAGGGACGTTAACGAGACTTGTACATATGGTCTAAATGTACCGTCGTCACCAACGCAAATGCCTGTGGCCTCATACAATCCAAGCTACCATTGGATAT